CATTCAGTAAATACTCAATTTTCATGTCAGGGATTGTTGACTTCTTTACTTTGAGTATGGTGTTAATAGTGAAAGTGATTCTATGAGATTCTGATGCAATCTTTATTTCTTGCAGAATGCCAATTCCTGTCCAGTTGATCGGACTATATTTAAATGTATTTGTATTCGAGCTCAGTTTGGTGGTAAAATTTTGAAGAAGGTAAGTGTGGATGCTGTGTGGAGACCCCCCTCACACCCCCGCTACATTCCTTGCACTGTTGCCTGTCTCATGGGAAAACATCCTTTCAGGAGTGGGTTTACTTTCCTGAAACGAGTCAGTGTTGGTTAAATGTGTGTTAGAATGTGCTAAAATGGCGTTTGCAGGCCTGAGCGTGGAGCCCAGTGCTGGAGGGGCAGCCTGCCCACCCGGCCCTGCCTGTTCTGGGTGGGTAGGCAGGCGGGGAATCGAGGGGTGGCACTGGTGTGGGCTCTCTCTCAGACTTCCTTTCTCCGCTCCACACGCCTTTTCTGCATCTCAGAGCCTGTCTCTTCTCAAGCCACAGCAGCCATGGGGCCCAGGGAAGGTCTGGGTAGAGCCCAGACCTTGGAGAGGAGGCCAGTTCTCTTGGGACCAGATTTCTTAAAGTACCTGGCAGGAGCATTTGCCATGAGGGCTAAGAAGAGGAAGGGTTTTCATCTGCTCTTCAGTGATTGCTTTTGCTTATCTGCTGTTCAGAGACTTGAAAGGCCTCCACACGTCTTCTGTGGTGGAGGAGTAGCCTTAGAAGACTCAGGGAGACAGCCTTCGCCTTCGATCTTCTGAAGATTCTTACAGCTGTAGGGCTGCTTTTTATTTACCTAGACACAGAGCCGTAGCCCCGGGACTCTGGGCCCGCTGCATGCAAATTTCTCCCGGAGACCAGCTGTGCTGGGCTGTGCTGACTCAGGCCTCCTGCCTCCTCCTCACACTCGTCTTCCCTGGAGCCCCAGGCCTGCGCCGAGGCCTCGGGGTGTGTTGGCAGTCACCACGAAGGCAGTCCTCATTCATGTGGAAGGTCTGCCCACTGAGTCTGTGGATCCTGAGCTCCACTCTAGGCGTGCAGAGAGTCCTGTGACGCATGAGCTAGTCCAGTTGGAGGAAAAGATCAGAGAGTGCCTCCAGGTCCAGCACAGAGTGGGGGTTGGCAGGAGGACCCTGTGTCCCCACCTGGTGCTAGAGTAAGAGCAGAGAGCTTGGCTGGGGCACGTCATCTGGGGGAGGGGGTTGCTGAGGAAGTGAAGAGCAGAGGTTCTGTTCCCCAGGGTGGAGGTGGGGGCGAGGAGACGCAGGTCGCAGGTGGCGGCTCATTTGGAGAGGGCGTGCCCACAGGCCTTGCACGTGTTGAGGCTGAGTAAATTGCAGCCTAATTAATTTTGTCCCTGAGACTACCTGTAAAATGGGGAGTTCTCAGTGTGTAGCCGTGACTGGTCAGGGGCAGCAGGCCTGTAAAGTGAGGGGTTCTCAGTATGTAGCCATGACCGGCCAGGGGCAGCAGGCCTGTAAAGTGGGGGGTTCTCAGTGCGTAGCCGTGACTGGTCAGGGGCAGCAGGCCTGTAAAGTGGGGGGTTCTCAGTATGTAGCCATGACCGGCCAGGGGCAGCAGGCCTGTAAAGTGAGGGGTTCTCAGTGCGTAGCCGTGACTGGTCAGGGGCAGCAGGCCTGTAAAGTGGGGGGTTCTCAGTATGTAGCCGTGACTGGTCAGGGGCAGCAGGCCTGTAAAGTGGGGGGTTCTCAGTATGTAGCCGTGACTGGTCAGGGGCAGCAGGCCTGTAAAGTGGGGGGTTCTCAGTATGTAGCCGTGACCGGCCAGGGGCAGCAGCACATTTGACTGTCATTTTTCAGAGTTATGTTTCCATGTCTTTGCTTGATTATGTGACAGTTTTGAGAGATTAACAGCCCGCGACCTGAATTTGCTTTGCTGTCTGTAACTCAGGGTGCCTGTCCCGTGAAGCCTGTTGCACAGAGTGCATGGAGCCGGCTCCCGTCTGGCCTCAGTGCCCCGCGTGGTCACGTGCTCACTCTGCTTCCATGAGTCATACACTGTTTTCTGTTGAATTATTTTTTTCTCTTGGTTAACTATCCTGAAACAGTCAGGAGAAGGAAAGTCACTGTCTGCCTGTGAATTCAGAACCTCTGGGCCTGTGGAGCCCCAGTCGATTTTAAGAAGTTGATTGGTCTGCTCTGGATCAACTGCGCATTGTGACATGTGGGGGCTCTGGGCTCGGGGTGTCATTCGCCGTGTGATCAGCAGTGCTCTTCTGCCTTCAGATTCCAGTGGAGGATGCCCGAGCTGGAGAGGACGAAGAGGAAGACCCCACCTTCTGTGAGGTGTGTGGCAGGAGTGACCGGGAGGACCGGCTGCTCCTCTGTGATGGCTGTGACGCCGGGTAAGTGTGGGGCCCCTGCTGGCCCGTCCATGGTGGCACTCCTTACTGGAGCTTGAGAGGCAGATGGAGGCATTGTCTACTGCCCTTCGTCCCTGACCTGTAGGAAGTCAGTCTGTGAACTGCTGAGCCAGCCTCTGAGACTGGATTTTAATTACCCCGTTAGAGGGAAGTCCCACAGGCCTGCTGCTGTTCCATGCTCATCCCCACAGGTGTGCACTGCTGTGCTCGGTGATGCAAGGGCCCCACACTCGGTGGTGCGCCCACCTGTCCCCAGTGCGCTGGCTTCATCACATCGTTATCAGCAGCCAGCAGGCACCACAGGCTCTTTTCACTGTTGCTGTTCAGACCCTCCACCTGTTCCCTCCCCAAAGTATTCCCAGCTCCTCACAGAGACGCACATGATACATCAAGACAAAAAGAAAGGCGAGGTCACAGGAGAAATCGGGGATATGGGGCTGGCCCGCAGGCCTTCTGTGAGGCCTGGCTCCGGTGGGAGGAGGGGCCTGTGACTGTGTCCGCCAACGCTTGTCTCCCTCGGACCTGCTTCCCAGCCACACTGCCGGTGACCCCTGCGTCCAGCAGTCCTTGGGAGCCTGGTATTGTCATCCCACAGTGACTGCTTTGTCTCCTGATTTCGGTTAGGCCCTCTTCCATGAGCCCATCTCAGGAGTTTTTCTGCTGTAAAACTGTGGTGAGAGGATTGTGGAAACCGTCCCCTTGGGACATGCACCCCAACAGGTAGTGAAGGAATCCAGTGAGGCTGGTAGATCTGAAACTTTCTCTTGGCAAAAACTAGCAGTTCTGAGGGCTGGGCTGTGAGGTAGCAAGAGGCAGGAAGGCGTGAGCCCCGGTGTCTGGGCGCCGGCCATGGGGGACGGGTGCCCGTGGAAGCACAAGTCTGCTCCACTACAGACGGTCCCCGCCTTGGCTTGGCCCCCTGACCAGGGCCTGCTCGCCTGTGACCTGCACTGTGGGTCACTGGCTCACTCCCCTGGCTGTGTGTTTGCGATTGGCATTTATCTTCCTAACACCCTGTTTCATCCGTCCGCCCTCCCCAGAGCCTGTGGCAAGGAATCCTGACCTCTTGCTCTGGATTTCAGGGGCCTTAGCAGCATCTCCCACCTTCTGTTCTTGCCCCAACCCTCTGGGCTCACACATTCCTTGTCCTCCCTCTTTTCTCACAGTCTTAGTTTGCACCCACATTTTGTGAATGCTCAACCTTGGCGATCTTGGCTTCTTAGGATTCCTACAGGTTGCCATGTCTACTATTGCCCCCTTAGCACGTTGTCGCTGTGAGTCTGGAGGACAGGAGTGGTGCCTTGGGGGTCCCCAGCCCTGTGAGTCCAGTGCTCTGTTGCTTGCCGTTGCTGTGCTTCGTGACTGAGAGTAGGAGGCTAAGTATGGTCTCATGGGGACACAGGGCTGAGAGGACACGGGGCTTAGCACTCAGAACACTGCTCACACACAAAATGCATCCTTCCGTGTTGTGGCCACTCTGGACATGCGAAGGGAGAGCCTGGAACAGCTGGACGCTGCAGGAGAGGCCACACGTGGTGGGAAGGAGAGACCTGGTCCCCACCCCTGCGTGGCCCTCATTGTTGGCCCTGCCTTCGCACCCCCCGCTCCCATGAACTTGTGTGCCTTCTGGTGGCTCTGGGGCAGCCTGTGGGCCAGGGTGAGGCTGTTGGAGCTTTCGCTCAAAAAGCCTAGTTTTTTCCTTATGCTTTTAAATCAAGCCTACAATTCTTACTTCTGTTAATTCTTGACATCCAGGTCTGTTTTTAATTCTATTAACTTTTTTTTTTTTTTTACAAGATTTTATTTTTCCTATTTCTCCCCAAACCCCCCTGGTACATAGCTGTATATTTTTAGTTGTGGGTCCTTCTAGTTGTGGCCTCAGTGTGGCCTGATGAGTGGTGCCATGTCCACGCCCAGGATCCAAACCGGTGAAACCCTGGGCCACCGAAGCAGAGCGCACGAACTTAACCACTCAGCCACAGGGCCGGCCCCTAATTCTATTAACTTTTAACAGTGACTCTTGAGGACTTTTACAGCTTCATTAAATATTTTTTGCTGTTGTAAAATACATTTGTAAATACATTGACTTTTTTTATGTGCCTGAATTATTTAACAGATGAAACAAGTACATAAAAATCCTGATGGATCTAAAACATTAAAACTGATAAATATAGTGATTCTTAGACTTCTGAACATCCTCACACTCTTAATATTTGCAGTCTGCTAAATTTTCTTACAGTTAAGTCTTTCAACTTAAAAATCACAAGTCTAAAATTACTTCATTGACTCATTTTAAAATGGAATCACAAGGCTATCTGAAGACCCATAAATATGCCAGATTCTTTCACTGTTACATGAATAAAATACAGATTATTTCTTTCCTTCTTTTTTTTTTTTTTTTTTGAGGAAAATTAGCCCTGAGCTAACTACTGCCAGTCCTCCTCTTTTTTGCTGAGGAGGCCTGGCCCTGAGCTAACATCTGTGCCCATCTTCCTCTACTTTATATGTGGGACGCCTACCACAGCATGGTGTTCCAAGTGGTGCCATGTCCGCATCCGGGATCCGAACTGGCGAACCCCGGGCCCCTGAGAATCGGAACGTGCAAACTTAAGCACTGTGCCACCAGGCCAGCCCAGATTATTTCTGACTTTTTAAAAGTTTAGAATCTAGTTTAAAGATGTGTATTCACTAGGGAGATAGTTCAGGACCTCACCATGCCATGCAGCTGTGGCTGTCCCCGTTGCGTAGGAGGTTGGTTCCGGGCCGGCTGGGCCCCGGCAGAGTGGGGTGCTCTGCATGAGCACTGTGAGCCCTGTCCTGGTGACCAGTCTCGCGCTCCCCCACATTTGAGTCCACAGCCAGTCTCCTTCTGGAGTGACCTACAGTCGGCACAGACTGGCCGGGCTGGGTGCCTGTCACGTGCCCTGGTGGCCTCTGCTGGAAGCCCTGAAGCTCGGTGTGGGAACGTCGGTTGAACTATGTTGGGTCCTTGGAGTGCTTTGTAAGAAGCAACTGCTCAGTTCTTGACTTTGTTCCTGAGACCACATAGGGAGGACCTTCTCAGGCTGGAATCTACTTGGGGTTCTGGCGCGCTCCCCAGTATTTGCGCTGGCCTAGGCTTCCTGGCTTGTGTTCCAGGAGGAGTCGCCTCTCCCCACATCCATTCCCCCTGGTTCTGCTGAGGTCCCAGCAAGGAGTTCATGGGGGTGGGGTCCCCTCTGTGTCTTGGGATCGTCAGGCCTTTCAGCACCGAATGTAGTCCATGGTTATTAAGCTGGATTGAACTGGGGCTCGAGTGTAGTCCGTGGTTATTAAGCTGGATTGAACTGGGGCTCAAGTGTAGTCCGTGGTTATTAAGCTGGATTGAACTGGGGCTCGAGTGTAGTCCGTGGTTATTAAGCTGGATTGAACTGGGGCTCGAGTGTAGTCCGTGCTTATTAAGCTGGATTGAGCTGGGACTGGGGTCTTCAGGGGGTTTAGCGTGGTGTCCATGTTGGGTTTTGCCTGGCTCAGGGCTCTCTGCAGTCTTGGGATGAAGTTTGGAGAATCTGGCACAGACAGCCCATGCCCGCGGTGGCTCCTCTCAGACTTTGCTGGAGGACTGGTTAGAAACCACTAGCAGATAACGCGCGTCAGGCCATTCCTACTTCCCTGCAGCAAACATCTTTCTCCCTCATTAGCTCCCTAGACTGGGTGGTGAAGTGTGGGTGCCAGTGCTTGACACTGCTGGGCGCCCTGAGTGCTGGTGGGCCAGGGAGGAGGGGAGCTTATCAGAGACCACTGCCCAGGGGATGGTGGGCGCACAGCACCTGCCCCAATCGGAAGTTACAGAGCCACCCTGGGCCGCACTCCCGCTTTCTTAGCTCAATCCCTTGGTGTGGTATGGCTCCTGTGGAGAGTCTGCAGGCCGTGAGGACCCTCTTCAGAGGGCAGAGATGCCCGAAGCTTGCAGTGGCAGACTGTCCACCTGGCCTGCCAGTGGGAAGGACTACGGGAAAGGTAGGGAGAAGGGTCTCAAGTTCGAAGTGCATAGACCTCTGAGCAGGCCGGCGGGCACCGCCATGTCCTCTGGGTGGGATGTTGGAGTCGGCTTGGGGGAAGCCTGCGGGACTGGCAGGTCGCAGTCTGGCAAAGGCTCTTCCTGGCTGCTGTCAGCGCGTTCTTGCTGTCCTCACTGGCTTTCCTCTCACTGGGATAGGGAGCCCTGTGTCCCCCCAAACTCTTCCAGGGATCCCAGTACATAGATCAGGGCCCCACCTTCATGACCTTGTTGAACCTCCTAATCGCCTTCCTCAAAGGCCCTGTCTGCACATGCAGTCACTTTGGGCTTTAGGGCTTCAGCATATGGCTTTGAGGGGACACAGTTCAGTCCACGGCAGGGCACAGTGCAGCCTTGGGCGCATTTGAAGGTCTGCTTTGTGGCTCTTGGGTTGCGACAGTGAGGCAGGGGACGCCTGTGTGACTGGCACCGTCTCTACCTGTAGGTACCACATGGAGTGTTTGGACCCCCCTCTCCAGGAGGTGCCAGTGGACGAGTGGTTCTGTCCGGAGTGTGCTGCCCCTGGAGCTGCCCCTGCCGCCGGTATGCCCTGCCTCCCTCTCAGGCTGAGCGCCCCGAGGAGGCCGGGGCGGGCCTTATTGTCTCATGGGGAGAACTTCTAGGGCTTTCCGTCAGGGGGATGGCTTTTTGTTGCGCTGCTGGGTGGGAGCTGGAGGAGCACAACTGATCCCAGCTGCGTTTTGGTTCAGCTGGTTCAGGGCTTCCGGCCCTGAAGGTCTGGAGGCCCAGGCTCCAGGGAGACCCTCTGCGTCCTGTCACTCAGAGGGCATGCACATCAGCCCCAGACTTTTTTCTTCCAAGATGCGGGTCCTGTGAGTGAGGAGGAGGTCTCCTTGCTCTTGGCCGATGTGGTGCCCACCACCAGCCGACTTCGGCCTCGAGCAGGGAGGACCCGGGCCATCGCCAGGACACGGCAGAGTGAGAGAGTCCGAGCGACCGTGAACCGGAACCGGATCTCCACCGCCAGGAGGATCCAGGTAGGTGTGCGTGACACTATGGCCGCCCACAGGTACTGCAGGCCGCTCCTGGCTTGGCTCTTCTGGTGGCTGCACCCTGTCCTGCTGCGCCTCAGCTGCCTGATTGCTGGGCAGTGGGTGCATAGGAGGGCGTTGTCAGCAGTGCCGGGTAGTCAGGCCTGACCTGTGGTGGAGGGGCCAAGGCATGGTTGGTGACTGGGTCCCTCTAGGCCCCATTTGAGCTCCCTCAGTCTCCCTCCAGGTCTGCGCACCGTACCTGGGAGTGACCTGGTGCTGCTGCTCCTATGGCTCACTGTTAGATGCACACTCCTGTGTGTTTCCTGCAGGCGGCTGTGCAGTGAGGGGCAACGGGCATTGCTTTTCTACAGTCTGGGTGTTAGTCCATGGGAAGCCTGACACAGAACTGAGAATGGGTTGAGAAGACCGTGGGGACTCAGGCCCTGGTACCCCCATCACAGACACCCTCCCACCACCTGGGTTCCCAAAGCAGACGGTTCTGCCCCGCATCCCCCTCGTCCTTGGGTTACTGTTTCCTCCCGTCCCTTGAATGGACTCCTCTCTGCTCCAGCCACCCACCCCACCCCCACCCCCTCGGCTGTGCCGTGTACGCCTCTGCTCCGCACCCGGCGGCCTGGGCCTGGCAGCTCCCTCCACTCGCGCCTGGGGCTCTGCTTGCTCCTTCTCGTGGCTTGCCGGCCCTGCTCATCCTCCATTGTCACCCTGAACTCTCTTCTCCAGAGGTCTTCCCAGACCCCCTTCCCCCTTGCCCATCTTCAGGGCCTGAGCTGCCCTTGGGAAGCACTTGGCACTTTGTCTGCTGGAAGCAAGAGTGCGGTGCCAGCCTGGCCTGCTGCTGCCAGGCCGAGGGCCGCCAGCTTCTGGGGTTGGCTTGGCGGGGAGCTGAGGGCTCCCTCAAGGGGTCTGAGGTGGTGCCGGCCTCCGCAGTAGCCCTGCCTGGGGTCCTCCCTGTGGAAAGGGCGGGGTACGAGAAGCCACCCCACTGACCAGTGCTGCCCCCTGCTGTGTAGCACGTCCCAAGGTACCTCATGTCTTCCCTGCTTGACGAGACCATCGAAACCGTCGCCGCGGGTCTGAGCACTGCCGTGTATCAGCACCCCCTGACTCCTCGAGCCCCCGCCAAACGGAGAAGGAAAAGAGGTACGTCTGGGCACAGTGGCCTGGGCTGTGTCCCTGACAGCGGCAGGCCAGGTGCTCATCCCTACCAACAGCTGCGCCAGAGTGCAGCTAGTGGTCGGCTCCAGTTCTGCAGCCTCATTTTCTCAGGGAGCCGAAAATCCCACGCAGAAGCCCCTCGCGGCCAGGCGGATCTGGTCTGGTTTATCCCTGTAAATACCCCCAGGGCAGTGTTGTCTGTGCAGCAGCACCCTCTGCCTGTGTGTCAGGGTGACACTGGCCTCCCTGAATCGTGAGGACTGTTCTGGAGGACTTGGTGGAACAATTGCCGGGTTTCTTTTCCTAACGTGACGAAGCGCCCGTGTTGCCCGGGCCGAGCTCGTCCCTGTGGGCATGGTTGAAGTGGTGACTCAGAGTCCTTGCTGGTACAGTTACTCAGGTTTCCTAGTGCTGTTCTGTGTTAGTCTCAGCGACTGCGTCCCTAGAAGTTCTGTTCTTCCCTGGGAAGGAATAGGTGTCTAGGGAGGATGCATCTTGTTCCTCATCACGCCTTCATCCCACTTTCACACTGCTGGCCACTTCTAGCTCCGGTTCCAGCTGTCTGCCTTAGTTGGCTTTCTGTTCTGAGGAGGAGCTTTCCCTCTCCCCTCGGTTGTTCACTGAAATCAGCCTGGACTCATGGATTCCTGTTTTATTCAGTGGGTTACAATCTCTGCTCTTTTAAAAACCACCTGTATTGAGTTGTGTACATGTACAGTACAATGAGTCTGTACACGTGCAGTACAATGAGTCTGTACCTACAGTACAGTGTGTGTACACATACAGTACGAGTGTGTACACGTGGAGTGCAATGAGTGTCTCCACTGCACATGGCCCGTCCTTCTAGCCTGCGCCCCTGCCACCAGGCGGCCCTGTGTCCTTTCTATCCCTGTCTGTCCATTAGTTCTGCCTGTTCTCAAACTTGAGGTAACAAGACATTAGAAGTTCCTGAGTGTGTGCTCTGGTTCGTCGCTCAGCACAAGGATTCTGGAGTCATTGTAGCTGTGTGTGTCTGTGGTTAACTTCTGTTTGTCATTGAGGAACATCCCATGGCCTGAATACACTAGTCTGTTTCCCCAGCCGCTTGTGCTGGGCATCTGGGTTGTGTTCTGTGTGGCTCTGTGAGAGTGAAGATGCTGTGCGTGTCCTGCTGCGAGTCTTTTTGCAGGCAGGTGTTCTGTTTCTCCTGGGGAGCAGAGAGGAGTAGACTGCTTGGATCGTTGGGTGAATGTGTGTTTGAGGTCATGTGCCGACTTCTGCTCCCCTGAGTAACATCAGAGCTGTAGCTGCACCACATTCTCGCCAGTGCTGGGGAGAGTCAAGCGTGTGTCTTCCCTACACCCGCAGGCACAGAGCGGTCTCGTGGTCGCCGGTCTGTTCGACAGGTCCTGCCGGTGTTTTCCCCCCGTAGGTGCTGTGACAGCTTTGTTGCTTCTGTATGTGCTGCAAGTTAGCAGGGCCCTCTTCATGTGGCTCCCGTGGGCCCCTGCGGGGAGCTCTTGCCTTCCCAGTGAGAGCTGGAACTTAGAGACCAGGTCTGAGCTCGGTGATGCTCCCCTGCCGGTGGCTGACATTGTTCTAGCCCTATTTAGTGGCTACAACTAAGAAATATGTCGTAAGGTCCTACCAATTCCTGAGTTAAAATTCAGGCTTAGAGGGGTTTTGTGTCTTGTATCTCACATCTGTGTCTTCTTTTTCTCATGTCAGAAATCCCAGCTCTCAGTCCTAACACTGTGATTACTTGTCTGCGTCATCCCATTGCACAGAGAACAGTCTCGGAACAGAAACCTCGAGTTGCTAGCAGTGCGGTTGTTAGAGGCGGGGGTGGTGTTTCCCCCTCGTCCCTAATGTGGATCCCACTGAGGGCGTAACATGCAGAGTCCAGGTCACTTGGTTAGGCCACATTGGCTTTATTTTGCTTGAGGTTTTTTTTTTTTGCTTTGCTAGTGAATTTTTTATACTTTCTTCAGACTTAGGTCAAACCTGTGGAAGTGTGGGAAGAAATGAATAGTGAGCCCACTTAACTACCCGTCACCTGGCTTCAGCCCTCCTGGCCACTTCTGCCTCGTCTCTGCCCCCACTTCCTCCTCCCGTATCATTTTGAAGTAGATGCTTCACATCCACCGTCAGTATTCACAGTGTGTCTAAAGGAGGGAATCTTTCTTCTTAACCACAGTACTGTGGTCATGCCTGAGAAAACCAACAGTAATTTGTTGACATCATGAAATAGCCAGTCAATGTTGAAAGTTCTAATTGTGTCATAAATGTGATAGAATTTTAGAAACTATTTTTTTTAAATCGAGAGCCAGACAAGATCCATGTTGCATTGGTGGTTGTTGAGCCTGTGTCTGTGTCCTCTTGGTTGTGGAGGAGGTCAGGCCTTCTGTCCTGGAGCATCCCTCACGGTCTGATTTTGCCCACTGCACCATGGGCAGCCAGCAGCTGTCCTTGGCTGTCCACAGGTTCAAGTGGGTGCTTGTTTGCTTTGGTGTCTGCCAGGGGCAGGGGACAGGGGGGATGTTGTCAGTGCTCAGGGCTCAGATTGGGACCTTACTGAGGAAGGTCAGGAGAGCCTGACCCTGCGCTAGCTGCTTCCCAGTGCTGCGGTGCTTCTGCACAAAGCCACCTGACTGATGCCTTCGCCTGTTCCTCTTATCGACTGCTTCTCAGGACCACGGGGTTGCTTAGCAGCATCCTTCAGTGGACATCAGTTAGGGTTTTTAGCATCATTATGAACTCAGGGATTTAGGTGTATTTGATGTATCTTAATAGCATACATCGCGAAGCCAACCCCTCTGTCTGCCTTGGGTCCCTCTTCCCTGCGGGGCTTCCCGTGGATTTGCAGGGGGTGTTGGAGCGTCATAGGGTGCCTGTGGCCGCCCAGGGCTGGTTCCCACTGAGCCCAGAGCAGCACCCCCTGGGATGACTGACGGGCAGGGCTGACTCTGGCCATTCTGCAGTTTCCTTTTTAGGAAATGTCCAGTGAAATCATTCGTTTTCAGGCCTCTTGGGCGAGTTCTCTGTGGTTAGATCACCAACTGGGTCCAATGCATAGTCGTCCTTTCATTTTACTCTTGATTGTCACAGTTTGTTCTAATTTAATTTTGTTTCATAATTATTTGAAATATTTACCGGTTCTAAAAGTCAGATCTACAAATCAAAGTAGATTCCAAAGTCCTCGCTCCATGCTGCCCTCCCTCTCTCTCCTCCATGGAGGTGTTATTTTTTAAATTATGGTTTACTTTTCCATTTAAAAACCCCGAGCCAGGGAAAAGGGGGGGAGGGGGGAGGGCACAAAGGGGGAAGAGGTGTACCCACAACATGACTAACAATAATGTACAACTGAAAGCTCACAAGGTTGTAACCTATCATAACATTAATAAAAAAAAAAATTGGAAACAAATTAAATATCCAAATAGGAATCAAACCAAAAAAAAAAAACCCCGAGCCAGTGTGTACGGTTGTCCGTGTGCTGGTCCTGGTGGTGTGGGGCACCTCCTGGAGGGGATGCCTGGGGCAGGGGCTGTGCACAGTGAGCACAGACTGTCTGTCCTCTTTGTAGGAAGACGGAGGAAAGCGTCAGGAAGGAAGAAGACCCCATCCAAATCATCCGTGACGGGCAAGAGGAGCTCCGGGACAAGATCTAAGAAACGCCAGGGCCGCGTGAGGAGGAGGACGGGGAAGAAGAGAAAGGTAGTCTGGTGGCGATGTCCACGTTCTGCCCTTGACCCCTTTGTGTGGTTAGGTGGGGGAGGGGGGTCACAGAAGCAGCCTCTCCTCTGTGTTTGCTTAGAGACTCACTGATGAGAACGAACACTTCTACAGCCCAGATTGGGTACAGGATGTTTCCCAGGACCCTTTGGAGGCAGACATCCTCAGGGGTTGTGTGTGACTCCCAGAACCCCCAGGGGTCCTGTGGGCACAAAGGGGCAGGCAGGCCAGAGGGTGCAGAGTGGGCGGGGCTGTGGCTGCCAGCTTGTCAGGGAGGCAAGAGGACTGGACCCGGAGTACAGGAGCCATGTGGGGGCTCAGAGAGGTGCCGCCACCGGGTCCTCTGGGGTGGAGCACCTCCCCTGGAGTCTACAGCTGGCTGTTCAGGCAGAGCCAACTTGTCCTGGCTGAGGTGACTCAAGCGGGATGTGTGTGGACACTGTCCACTTCAGGCCGTTCCCCCTCCTGAGAGTCCCCCGTCACTGGGCTCTCAGAGTGCCGCTCTGTCGTGCCTGAGCAGCCTGCGTCATGCATCCCTTTTCTGAAGGGCCTGTTCTCACTCCAGCTGCTGGACTGGACATTTGGAGCATTTTGATACGTAAAGTAGAAGAAGCTGTTCAGGTGTTTGCTGCATCTTTATGTGAATTTATACTCAGGGGCGTAGCTATTGCCTAATTAAATTCGTATGGTATGTTTATGTAAAACTCAGTTTAGTAAGTGGTGTATGTGAACACATGGTCTCGGTGTTCATTCAGACACAGGAGTAGGGGCCAGAGCTGTGAGCCATGTGGGCACTGGCAGGACGGGGCCTTGCCTTCTTGTTGCGGCCGGCTCCCACCCTGCACGCCCACCTGAGCCCTCGGGTTCCGGGACCATGCACAAGGTGCCTTGGGCTGTGGTGGGAGTGGCTCTGTCCCCTCGCCATTCACTCCGCAGGTGGTTTTTAAAACAGGCTGTCAGTCAGACATCAGTTGGATGCTTTGTTTCCCTCCTTGTGAGTTTTTGCTCAAAACAAAGGACCCCCTGTTGACAGCACTCTGGGGAGGTTCTGCCCGTGGCTTTGTGGTGTGTGGGTCATGCTTGTCTCGGTGTTTGCTCGCTCTGTGGTTCAGTTAAATCTCAACAACGTCGTGATTAATACATGCAAGGCCCTTTGGCTTTGCGTTACCATGTGCTCCACCTGGTGTTGGTGTTGCTAATTGATACTTGAAATGGTGTGTCTTAAACCCTTAGATTTCAGTCTTACTGATCACTTATTCTTTGTTACTTCGGTTCAGAATGAAATCACAGCTCGTTCTCGCATTGCACGGACGCTGGGCCTCCGGAGGCCAGTCCGCGGAGCCTGCATCCCATCCGTGTACAAGCCTGCAGACCCCTCTCTGGGGCTGATGCGTGCGGACATCGGAGCAGCCTCTCTCTCTTTGTTTGGAGACCCCTATGAGCTGGACCCCTTCGACAGGTGACTCCAGGGGGAGCAGTCCTTCAGGGGCACCATCTCAGAGTTGGGGAGCTAGGTGTCACCTCCCTCCTTTCTTAGTGTGGACATTGGGCACGGCACCCCCATGGGGAGCGTGGGTAAGCCTCTCACTCCACGTTTGTAAAATGAGGGTAATGATTCCTGCCTCAGAGTCGTCCTCAGATGGTGAGGACTCTGCGTCCCCAGCCCCTAACCTAGAGAGGCCTGTTCACACATCTGCCCGCCATCCCTGCTCAGAGACTCGGGCAGCTGCCCACGCGAAGCTGCTGCCCAGGTCCTGTGTTCACTGTTGAGTCACGAATACTGCCATGTGGGGCAGTGCTTAGCCTGTCCATGCTAGGTGCTGTTGAGGGTGAGCTGGGGATGTCTCCCTGGGCGTCAGGATGTGGGGTCACCTGTTCCCTTTGGCCTTTGTCCTCCCTGCAGCAATGAAGAGCTGTCTGCAGACCCAGCTTCCCCTCTGAGTGCCAAGAGGAGGATCCTCTCTCAGTCAGCTGTGCAGTCTCACCAGCCTGTGGCCAGGCCCATCTCCATGGGGCTCTCCAGGTCTGTCCTGGGAAGGATAGGACGGCAGGGGACAGTGGTCCTGTGGTGGGGCCACAGGCCTGCAGGGACCAGCTGGGCGCCATGTTGGCCTGGCACCCTGCCACCCATGCTCCTGCGGCCTCTCTTTGTGGCCCCTCCCTTGGCTCTGATGAGGAAGTGCTGCAGCCAGTCCTGAGTTGAGGGTGCGGGGACAAAGCGGTGGCCACTGGGGGCGAGGAGGGGGTGCGGGGAGCCGCAGCTCCTCGGGGCTTCCTCTGCGTGCCCAGCTCAGCCACAGAGCCCACCAGCAGGGAGCCAAGCTGCTGTTCAGTGCGGCTGCACCTTGCCTGCATCTTTTCTTCTCTTTGACTCCACAAAAAAAAAGAATTAGCCAAACCAACAAAATTAGAAGATGGCATTATCCGCCAATTCTTGCCTGTCAGTGACATTTGGGGCCAGAAGCCTCAGATAACGTCACCCCCAAACACTGCTGTCCTTCAGTTGGAGCTGCCAAGTGGGTCTCCCTTCTTCCCTCAGGGGGCCCAGCACACGGCCTCTTCTCGGCACAGCAGCCAGGACCTGGGGGCCCCGGGGAACAGCAGGGGCACCAGGGGTGCCTGACCAAGGGCCTGGGGCGTGGGGAGGCAGCAGTGGCCCACCCTGGGTCTGTGCCTGCAGGAGGAGTGTTCCTGCCGCGGTGCCCGAGCCAGAAGTGGACGAGGCCCCGGTCCCCGACCTGCTGGGGAGCATCCTGTCGGGCCAGAGCCTCCTCATGATGAACAGCGCCGACATTGTCATCCACCGGGACGGCTCCCTCAGCGCCAGGAGGGCAGGTGAGGCGCCGTCTGCTCCCGCCGTCCCCTGCACACCAGGAAGCAGAAACAATCGTGGGACTCAGAGGGTGGGAGAGCCACCACACTAAACAGGCATCTTCCACTCACAGGAAGTGTCAGCGAAGGGGGACAGTTTTCTCAGCTGTTTTTCTCCGTTAACTTTCCATCGCTTTGTGAGCAGAAGTACAGCTGATAGCCTAGACGGTGGTGGGGTTCCCAGCCAGCCCACAGACCCTCCTTAGCCGTAGAGGAGCTGGCATGTGTTCTCAGAGCTCCAGAACCAGCCTCCACGGAGCCCCTCCCACAGAGCTGGGCCTTGGCAGGATTTCAGGGCTGGGGTGGGTCCAGCGTGGAGGCGGGGCAGGACAGAGATGGACAAGGTGCTGTGAGCTCGGGCCACACCTTGTCACTGCCCCCCTGTGTCTGTGACTGGCGTGGGAACTTTCAGACCATCAGTGGTGTAACTGTAAAGCAGAAGAGAAAGCGTCTGCGACCCCTCAGCGAGCTGCAAGCCTGCCCGAGGGGGCGCCCCGGGCAGGAGAGGGTCCAGGTCAAGGTGCCAGTGGGAGGCATTGAGGACGCACAGCTTGAGAGGGTCATTTGGTAGAAGTTATCCGACTCTTGGAGCTCTTTAGGGAGAGTGTGGGGGCTGATGCCTTTTGCCTCTTTCCCTTTTAGCGCCCAGTCCTGTTCAGCGAAACTCAGTTGGTCTGTCCAGAGAGGGAGAAGGCCCCGGGTCTGGAGATTGCCTGCAGCCTGGGGCACCATGCTCAGGAAGGGGGCTACAGAGCCTGGGGCCACGCTGTCAGAGCAGGCCTGCCTCGGCCCCAGCCCCGGCCACCCACTCCTGTGTCCCTGCGCTCACCTTGGGGGCAGCTGTGAGACTGGACTCCTCAGGGACCTCTCGGTCGGGTCAGGCTCAGAACTTGTCGAACGTCATCCGGCCTGGCTTAAAACAAAGTGACAGCCCCCGACTGAATGGTGAAGGGAAGCACGCTTTGCCTCTCAGATTTGTGTCCTCTAAGGTCTCAGATCACAGCTCTGACTCGCCATCTCAGAGTGCTGTGCTAGGACAGGCCCCCAAACCAGCTCCCAGGAGAACTGACATCTCTGAGCTACCCAGGATCCCAAAGATAAGGAGAGACAACAGCGGCAGCAGGCAGGCAGACGCGCTCCCCACCGGGCAGTGCGTCGAGATCCCCAGCTCCTGCATAAGCCGACTCACTGGCAGGGAGGGCCCTGGGCAGCCTGGTCGTAGTGCCCGGGCAGAGGGCGAGCCCAGCAGCAGGGGCCCACAGGAGCCCAGCACGCACTCGGGGGGCGGCCCCCAGTCCCCGGCCCCGCTGGGATCCTCGAGGGGCAAGGGTGTCGGCTCAACCTTTGAGAGCTTCAGGATCAACATTCCTGGGAACACTGCCCCTTCCAGCAGACTCTCCAACCCTGGCTTCTGTAACACCTTCCGGCCTGTCGACAACAAGGTGCAGAGGAAGGAGAACCCCTCGCCCCTCTTCTCCATCAGGAAGGCGAAGCAGCTCAAGAGCGAGATCTACGACCCCTTTGACCCTACGGGCTCTGATTCCAGTTCTATTGGCAGCAGCCCTGAGCATCTCGGCACTGGCCTCTTGCCCTCTGAGATCACGCGCACCATCTCCATCGACAGCCCGAAGGACCCACCGTTGCAGACTGTGCGCTGCGTCACCTCCTACACGGTGGAAACCACCTTTGGACCGGAGCCCGAGCCTTCTCGGGGGCCTTCCTCCAGCCTGCTCAAGCTCCGGAGTGAGGGGACCACCAAGGGGGCCTCCAACACAGAGCGCGAGGGGCTGGGCAAAGAGGAGCCTGCTGAGGGCCAAGCCTCAGTCCCCCGGGTCCCAAGACCATCCCCGCCAGAGCCCTGGGAGGATGAGGACCCGCCACCCCGCAGCACCTTCTTTGACTCCGAGGAGCGGACAGTGACCTGTGTGTCAGTGGTGGAGCCAGACGCCCCACCGAGCCCAGATGCCCCGCAGACAACCACCCATAGGATCGTGGAGCTGCGGTCCCTCTCCCGCTCCCGCTCCCGCTCCACATCAAGCTCCCGTGGCCGGAAGAAAGCCAAGAGGAAGCGAGTCACTACCAGGGAGCACAGGAGGGCCCACTCAGGCACTCGCTCCGGCTCCCACTCTGGGGACAGGAGCTCACAGTCAGTGTCGCCACCAGTGGGTGAGGACCACGCCAAGAGGCACAGGCCCAAGGCCAGGAGCCGGAGGTCTTCCAGCGACTGCTCCAGCAGCCACGAGCGAGCCAAGCGGAAGAAGGCCAAGGACAAGAGTGGGGAGAGGAGAAGGGCCTCCTGGGGCCGAGGCCGGCACAGGTCCCGGTCCCGCTCGGGCAGCCCTGGCAGCTCCTCCCATGACCACCGCGAGAGCAGGAGGAAGAAAAAGAGGGAGTCAGGCTCCAGGTCTTGGGGGAGGGAGTGCTCGCCCCCCAGCAGCCTGGAGAGAGCCCGGAGGCACCGGCACCCAAGGGAGAGGAGCCGCGAGCGGCCCCGAGACAGGCGGGGCTCCCGTGAGAGGAAGAAGCGCAAGTGCAGATCACCAAGCGTGGAGCTCAGGTCCAGGGAGCGCCGGCGGCCTCGTTCCCGTGAGAAGCGGCCACGGCCCCGCTCCCGCTCCCGCTCCCCAGAGAGGAAGTTGGCCGTGAAGGAGGCTTCTCCACAGCCGCCTCCCCAAGAGGAGGCAAGGCCAGACAGGGAGCCCCCGGCCAGGCTGCCAGCTTCAGCAGAAGCAGACACCTCTCCAGAAGAGGCTGAAGCTCACAAGGCCCCCCCAAAGGCCACCCCTATGCTGGAGGTGCCATCCGAGTGTCCACCTGAGGACCTGGACTATGGCGACTCCGTCGAGGCAGGGCACGTCTTTGAGGACTTTTCTAGCGAGGCCATCTTCATGCAGCTGGATGACATGAGCTCCCCACCCTCGCCAGAGAGCACGGACTCCTCCCCAGAGCGAGACTTCCCACCCAACCCTGCTGTGCCCCCGGCCACCCAGCAGCATGACACCAGCCTGGCCATGGCCGTCATCAGAAGGGAGGTGTCACTGATCCACGGTGAGGATGCTGTGCAGCCCCTGCCCCTGGCAGAGGGCCCCCAAGAGAAGCCCTTGTTCTGGCAGGATGCAGACGAGGCCGCTGCGGTACCCAGCGCCCTGGGAATCCAGGCCTTGGGCGGGGCACCTGTAGGGAAGGAGGAAGGCCCCTCTCAGACCCCCCTGCTGCGCGCTAAAGCCCTGGTGAAGAGGGTCACCTGGAACCTGCAGGAGGCAGAACGTGGTACCCCAGCGGAAGACCGAGGCCTGCGTGAGTAGGGTGCTCCCACGGGCACTCCGGGCATGGGCCGGGGCGGCGCATGAGGACGGCATGGAGTGGCCGCCAGGGGGCCTTCTCTCTGTGCGCACATGTGCCTCCTGGGTCACGCTAGTGACACAGGCTGAGGGCAGGGAGGCGGCTGCAGCATGGCCTGTGGTCCTTGTTGCTGGGATGCTTTTCTGGAATTTTCCAGTCAGGAAGCAGCCTTCTGGCCCAGGGTGGCCACAGAGCACCCACCTCCCCTGTGTTGGCCCTCAGGGACGCCACTTCACAGGCCACAGAAGCCCCAGGAAGGGGTCTGGGAAACAGACGACGTGGGCCCCACAGCAGCCTTCCAGCAGGTGTCCTTCTCAGAGCCCCCTCCCCCAGGCTGTGTGCTCCCAGGGCCTGGCTTCCCTGACACCCACCCCTCTCAGGTGGGTGCCCCCGTCTCTGCCGGGCTCTGAATACTTCGGGGTGGGGTGGGGACACGTGCTGGACACTGCCAGCGTCAGGGCTCTGTGCTCAGTGAGCTGCCCTCCTGCCCAGGTTCACTACTCCAACCTGCCTCCCGCCCCGGCTCTGCCCTCGGGTGTCCCACCCTATGCACCAGTCAGCCAGCCTGCAGTCCAGTTCATGCTGCAGGGGAGCCTTCCCCCTGCGGGCTGCAGGGTGGCACAGAGCCCAGCTCCAGTGCCCACCATCCTGACCACAGCCTCAGAGCCAGCTGGCCACGCGGCCAACAACGCAGAGGAGAACACGGCTGCTCCCAGGCCAGCCTTGGACAAGGCCAAGAACGAAGAGGTGAGTCCACCCACCTTCCCCCAGAGAGGCCGTGCCTCTGGGTAAGGGGCCCTCCCAGCCTCTGCCCTGGCCGAGCAGCCCCTCTGGTGGATGGTCACACACATGTCCTCGCTCCTAGTACATGAAGAAGCTGCACATGCAGGAGCGGGCAGTGGAGGAGGTGAAGCTGGCCATCAAGCCCTTCTACCAGAAGAGGGAAGTGACGAAGGATGAGTACAAGGACATCCTTCGTAAGGCTGTGCAGAAGGTGAGCGTGGGTGGGTGGGCCCCACACACGTGTGCATCCGGCACCCTGGTCGGTTGTTATGAGGGGTGGGTCTATGCTGTCTCTTGCTGACCCGGATTTTTAGGGTGTTTGTGAGCACTGAGGAAGGTGCTTCGGCCCAGGGTGGTCTGGCCAGGGCCAGGGCAGCATTGGCACGTCCTGGCCGCAGCTTCAGGATAGTCCCTCGTCTCCCTGTAGCCACACTTCGGAGTCGCTCAGGAAGAGTAAGGATTGGCATTTTCCAGGGGTTAGAACAGCATCCTTCTTACTTGTTAAAATAAGCTAAATGACAGGAAATATTGAAGATACCTGCTCACAGGTAGGGAAGCAAGACCTGAGAGATGGATGGTTCTCAGGCCCAGGGTGGTAGCCTCAAATCCATGATATGTTGGCCACACATCTCTGCAAGGTGAGCAGAGCGGGCAGACATGCATCAGTTTCCCGAGTCCCCTGTCCCTCATGACGCGGGCCCCCAGAGCTTGGTCACTGAGTTTGGGCTGTGGAAGGACATCCAGGTAATTGTGCCTCTCCCCCTCCCCCAGATCTGCCACAGCAAGAGCGGGGAGATCAACCCTGTGAAGGTGGGCAACCTGGTCAGGGCCTACGTGGACAAGTACAGGCACATGCGCAGGCACCGGAGGCCCGAGGCTGGGGAGGAGCCGCCCGCCCAGGGCGCCGAGGGCTGAGGCCAGCCAAGGCCATGGGGCACACCCTGGGAGCTGGTGCCCCGTGATGGCAGTGGTGGCACTTCCCCAGATCCCCAGGCGGTTCTGTTGGAAGTGGCAGAAGTAGAAAAGTGGGGACATCTTGTGCTCCTGTTTTCAGGGTTCCTGTGATCACACGTGGTCTGTGCACCTGTCTTGCTCACAGCTTAAAACTGGACTTTTTTATATGTATATTATAGATTCACAGTTTCCATTGTGTTCTAATTTATCAAAAATGGATTCTCTTTAGAAACTTCTCCATTGACTCAGTACTTGAAAGGTGAAGCCTTTGGTGATCAGGAGGGGCTCCGGCTGCAGCCCTGTGTGTGCCTGTTTATGATCTAGAAACTCCGTCAGTGCTTTGTTCCCTCCGTTCTGTAAACAATCGCTCATTGGCCCTCCACTCCACTGCCTCCCACCAGGCAGAGCATAGCGTTGGCGCATTTAAGGCCAGGGACAAGCCCTGGGCACGGCACGGAGTCAGCTGTCCCTGACTCCGGGATCCCCGGTGCCACGCTCCCAGCATTCCTGGCAGGAGCACGCGTCTGCTGTCCCAAGGGCATTTTGTACTCGTCCAGTAGAGTTTCTTGGCTCTAAAGTGTGTGGCCTATTTCTTCATTGTGAAAGACAGAAGAAAACGGGTGCGCACAGGAGGCCTCAGTGTGTGTTTGGGGGGATGGTCGCCTCCCTTCCTGGGCCCGCAGATCCCGTGGGCTCCCGGGAAGTGGAGCAAGCCTTGCAGTCGGCAGTGCCCCCCAGAGCCCCAGCCCTGAGCCCACCCCTGGTCAGGACACCAGCACAGGTTTTCGGGTTTTCTTTATTGGATCAGGGTGGGGTCCGGGCCCCAGGCCTAGGCGGGCTGCTCCACCTCCATGAAGAAGTGGTCAAGGAAATGCTCGAGGTCGTTGTAGAGGCTGTTGGAGCTGGACAGGCAGAGGCCTAGGCTGCCGCTGTCCAGGGAGGACACGCCTTCACGCTGCACACCCTCCAGGTGCGCCCGGCACAGCCACGGCTCCAGCTGCGGGGAAGGTGGTATCAGCCAGGTGGGGGCTGTGGGCAGCCTCACCCGCACGGGGCCCCGCACCTCACCTTCACCAGGACCAGGCTCTTCTCCTTGGGTCTCCTGGCTGACAGGTCTTGCCCAAAGGCCAGGTAGATGGTGTAGTGTGGGGAGCCCTGGCGCTGGCGAGCCCGGAACTCCACAAGCTCTGCAGACCAGGGGCTCTGTGAGCGGGGGTGGGGCCAAGTTGGGCGGCAGACCCAGGGCAGGTGCATCACTCACCTCGGAAGAAGGTGCTGAAGTCGAAGATGGGAGTGTCGCAGTTCCTGGGCAGCAGGCGGGCCGGGCTAGAGGGGCTGGCAGAGCCCAGGGGGCCTCCCACCTCCCAGAAGACCTTGCACTTGCCCAGGCGCCGGGCCCACAGCCCAGGCCCCCGGAGCTCCAGCTGCAGGCCAGGGGCCACGTGCTGCAGCAGCTTCTCTGTGTAGTGAAGCTGTTTCTGGTCGGGGAGCTCAGCAGGGCTGGGGAAGGCCACGCACTGGAGTTCTGTGGCCTCAACAGGTAGGCTGGGAGGCCCGTATAGGAACACACATCTTGGGCGGCCCACCACCTCCTGCAGCACCGTTCGGCCCTTGTACATGATGGTCACGTCCAGGGTGCCCAGGCTGGGTTCTGTGTGCAGACTGAGCTGTGAGTAGCCAGGCCTGGCTGGGACCTGCTCACCTGCCACCGGGGGACAGGCACTGGGGGGCAGCGCAGTGCAGGGCTCTGCCTCTTGAGGGGGCTGCCAGGGTGCTGGGGCTAGGCCTGCGTCCAGGGAAGGGCTGTGTTGGCACCTGGTCCCCCAGCACCTCCCTCCTCCACATGTCCCCAGGTTCCTCTCACCTGTCGTCTGGGCCTGGGGCTTTGGCAGGTACAGCTGCCCCGCAGGGAGCTCTGGGCCTGAAGAGGGTGACAGTGGAGACAGCTGTACTGGTCCGGCTGTGGCTGGCTCCATCTCTGCTGGACACCTCCCCCTCCCTCCAGGGACTTTGCTGTCCTGCCTGCCCCTCCCCTTGGCAGAGGACAGCCCCTCACCAGGAGCCTCTGGGGAGATTGGATCCACCCCCCATGTAGCTTCCAGCAGGTGGTCCTCCAGGCTGCTCTGCTGCAGAGCCTGGAGCAAGAGGTCCTCCACATCGTCAGCTGGGCCGGAAAGAGGGCTTGGGGCGCAGGGCTCAGGGTTCGGCCCAGCCAGCTGGTGCCCCCGCCTCTCACCAGCATCTCCTGCCAGGGCTGGCCTGAGGAACCCGCCCTGCAGGGGAAGGCAGTGCCAGCATAAGCAGCTCCCCAGCACCAACGAGGTGGCAGCCCCCACCCAGAGACAAGGAGGACACAGCAGCCTTACCATCCTGGGGGGGACATCAAGGGCCTCATCCTTCCCCTGGTTAATGCCTGCATCTTCTGAGGGAGAGTTGGGACCTGAGACTCCAGAGTGGCACGCCAAGGTGTGAACCCCTGGGTGGACCCTCAAAGCTGGACCGCCCCGCCCCTCATTAGTCCCAATAGGCGGTATCAGCTTCCTCCCTGTGATCCCCTGCCCTCCCCCAACAACCTGGCACTAGCCTCTCCCAGGCCAGTTTCTAAAACTAAATCGGACCAGTGGCTGCCCCCGACGGAACCAAGTTCCGACGCCTTTTGCGCACTGAACGTCTGCCTCCCTGCCAGCAGCCCTCCCCCACATTACTCACCTGCCCACCCCACCTCGGGGCTGAGCGCATACACCTTATGCGGGTCCGTGAGGTCCCCAGAGTTGTCTTGCAGCATCACGAAGCGCCGCGTGCTGCGCAATGCGCAGCGGAAGTTGGTTTTCCAGCCTGCGCGGAGGGCGCTCTCGGGGGTCTGAGGGTCACTTCTGCTGCTGCTGGGCGGCCACCTGCCGCGGGCTACGGCCCAGGCCTAGGGAGGAGATGGAGGGCATGGGCCTGGGGGAGCAGGTCGGGGGCCTGGGCCCGAGCCAGCCTTCACACCAGGGGCAGGGCTGGGGTACCACCTTGAAGATGCGTGAGTCCGCCTCGCCCAGGTCCCTCCGCCCGAAGTGCTTCCAGGGGACACGGAAGTGTGTGCGGGCTGCGTCCAGCCACTCCAGCCCCTCGTAGCGGCCGCTGCTGACCTCGCCCAAAAGCCAGTCTCCGAACAGCACGCGCGGGGCTACCCTGCGGGCGGAGCAGCCAGCGGGGTGGGCGCCGGTGGCAAGGTGCGCGGGGTCAGGCACCTGGGGAGCGTGGGCCAGGCTCTCACCTGTCGGGAGCCACAGCCATCGCTCGCTCTGCAAGGACTGGACTTGGAGAGATGGGGCGCGCCCTCCGCTGCGAGGAGGTGTGGTCGCGGGTGGCAGTCAAGTGTCACCACAGGTACTGTGGCCCAGTTGTTACAGGTGAGGGGGTCACACGTGTGGATTGAGGGCTTATGGCCACGACGTTGCCCAGGTGTGGGTTTCAGGGCAAAGGTGGCGATGAGTGTGACAACAGATGTGGCAGGCGCGCACACATGCGGTCACAGGTGTTAAGCCAGCGTCCAGGCCTGGCCGGGTGGTCTCAGGCTGGACCCTGCAGAGACACGACAGGAATGGTCGCGTGGAGGGCGGCGCGGAGCGCCGGGAAACCGAAACCATGTCGCAGGAAAACGAAACCTAAGCCGCGAGGCAGGGCGTCCCGGCGGCAGGCGCCTCCCGGTCCCCAAGCCACCCGGCCCCTCACTCCCTCGTTTCTGACCCGGCTCCTGGCCTCCCGCTGGCCATGCGCCCCTCGCTCCGCCCCCGCCCGGTCACGGACTGGCTGCCCTTCGTTCTCCGCGTGGCGAGGGTCCCGAGTACCTGGGTGCCGGAGCCGCCGGGGCGGGAAGTTTCGTCTCGCCGGAGGAGCGAGAACGGCGCGCTTTTAAGGGGAGAGCGGGGATGGGGGTGGGCCGACGGTGGGGCGGGCCCACGGCGGGGCGGGCTGGGCCCGCTGGGCTCCAGGTGCAGCCGGGGAAGTCACGCGCTCCAACAGACAGTGGGGGCTGCTCGCGGCCTGTTCCCGGAGCCCCTGTGCAGGCTCTTGGTGGAGGCGGCAGGCCCCGTCTGGGGACAGCCCCCGAGGGGGTAGCGGAGGGGCGGCTGGAGTGGCCGGTCTCGCCGCCCTGCCAGGCTCAGCCCCTGCGGCATCCAGTTGCCCTTATCCCTCCAGGAGCGCCCCCTACACCAGGCGGACTGCGGACCCGGGCCACTAATGGGGGTGGGGGAGGCAGTGGGCCAAGCCGGGGACTCGGCCAACATGAAAAACGAAACCAGGCTCCAAACAAAACCAAGCACTTATTTTCACGGAAAAGCCGGTAATGGGGGGCGAGGGACCAGCGGCAGCTGCAGCGCGTGGTTTCTTAACCGCGAGAATTGTTCGGACAAGAAGACTCAAATGCCCTCGAAAGTAAAACATTTGGAAAGGAATTTGTGATGCCTTTCATTAGGAAAAACACCAAGGACCACAAGGGACAGTGTGGTGGAGGTCAGCACGGAAGCCCTGCCTGATGCTGGCCTCTCCCTGAGGAAGCCGGCGGAGGGGGCCCTGTCCCCCACTCGGTGGCCCTGGTTCGCCACAGCCTCTGCCTGTGCACCAAATGGCCCTGCCACCCTGCAAGCACAGTCTGGGCGCCTGGGCCAGGTGCCTCTCTCTGCCCACTGGGTGTTTACCACCCCCAGCGGACCCCACTGGGTGTGACTCCCTGGAAGGTCCCCAGGACCATGCCCTCCATGAGTCTTCTTGAGGGTGACTCTCAGCCTCCTCCAGGCGAAGACCCTCCGTGTTGGGTAGGGAGGGAGAGTCTCCAGTGCGAGATGCCCCCCTCCTCGGGCCGTGGTTAGACCAGGAGAGGAACTTCCTCTCTGCCAGCTGGCACGCAGCGTGGGAAGCAAGGCGGGCGGGTGCAGCAGGTGGTTTATGGGAAGCCGTGCCAGTGCTACGACCCTGCCCGCCCCCTCCCCGACCCCACGGCCCCCACCGCCCCGTGCATCCGCGAGGACTCCATGCCGGCGGAAGCCAATGGGCCATGCCGTGAACCCCCCCGGCGGCAGCCTCTCCGAGACAGACCCCACGCACCCCTTGCCCCAGATCCAAAAGTATCACTTTATTCTGCGCAGTGCAGTGGGGGACAGCGGCTGAGCGACTCGGGGTCCAGGCCCGCGAGGGGGACGGGGGCGCCGCGCTAGTCGTTGGTGGAGTCGCTGGGCCCGTCACTGGGGGCGCCCTCGGCCGCGCCGCCGCCCTGGCTGTCCCAGTCGCCCGCGCCATCCGCGTCCGAGGTGGGCACGTTGAGGACCACCACGTCGGCCTCGGCGCCGATGTCCTCGCCGAACCACACAGCCTTGTAGCCGCCCTCAGGCCGCCGCTCCTTGGTCAGGATGGACCTCACCTCCGCGGGGCTGCCCCCATCCTGGGCCGCCATGGGGGACTCGGGGACGCAGGCGGGGGGCACAAGGCTGGGGGGCGCGGGGGGCGCGGGCTCCAGGGGCGTGGGCTCCAGGGGCTCGGGCGGGGCCTCATCTGAGGTGGGGCAGGGCTCTGGGCTGGGGGCCGGTGCCCAGTTGGCCTCACCATCGTGGGTAAGGAAGGCCTTGTTGTCAAAGCCACCGGGCTGGGGCTCCTGGGGAGGGACAGGAGCGAGGGCATCAACCAGGATCCCGCCATGGACTTCGAGCCCTTGGGGCCCTCCCAGAGACAGGGATCCGCACTGGTCCCTGCCCTTTTCTCTGCCTCTCTCTGTCCCCTCTCCATCTTTTGGACTATGATGTCTACACCCCATGTTTCCTCACCCCTGCTCTTCATCCTGTGGGCTCTCCACCTCCACCCCCCTGCATCTCCCCCTCTCCCCCAACTCCCCCCACACATCTTCTCCCCCCTGCATCTTCCCCCGCTATATCTTCCCTCTCCCTCCACCTCCTCCCTCCATCTTTCCACTGCTGTCTGTCCTCACTCTCACATCCCTGTCTCTTGATCTTTCTCCACGCCTGTCAGTCTGTTCATCTCTCCTCTTCGGTCTCTGCATCTGTCCCTCTCCTGTCCGGTCCCCCACCCCTCAGGGCCTCACCAGAGCTTTGCCAGCACAGCACTTGCATCGGTGGCCGTAGTGCTTATAGATGAGGACAGTGAGGGCAATGAGAGCTAGAAGCAGCAGGGCACCTAGCACGCCACCCACGGCCGCCATCTCCGCTGTCGAGAAGTTCCGGTCCCCAGTGTGGCCTGGCTCACCATCCCCTGTGGCGCTGCCTCCTCCAGCCCCAGGCGTGCCTGCCAGCAACACCACCACCCACTTACTTACTTACATTCACCCACTTACAGTACCCCAAGCACCTCCCAGCCCAACCTGCACCAGCTCAGGACACCCTGAGGACGAGCCAGGCTGGCTGCCTCCTGGGGCAGAGGTTCTGGAGAGTGGGCTGTACTGACCCCCCCCCCCACCCCCGACTAAGGAGCCGTGTGTTCCCAGGGCCCTCCAGGAGGGCCAGGCTGCTGAAGGGAAGGAGGCGGCTGGGAGTCAGTGCCCACCAGCTCCACGTGGGAGGCAAGGGGTCTAACACCCAAGAAAGGAGATGAGGGCAGTGCTGGTGCCAGTGGAGTGAATGGCCCTGGGAAGGGTGTGGTTCACTGGATCCCAAATCTGGCGTCAGCCCTGCCCTCCACACACCTTTCCTAGTTTACCTTCTCAGGGGGCCCTCCCAGGACGTGTCTGTCTCTGCCCAGAATGAGCAGACCCCCACTTGGGGTCTCACGGTCATTCGACGCCAACCTGGGGCAGACCCTGCCTACAGTGACTCCCAGGACCACCCGAAGTCAGGGAGCATGAGGGTGACTCTAGGGCAAATGGGGGTGCTACCTGAGGGCTGGGGGGTCCTGCTGGGCCCAGGGGTCCTCGGCTGAGAGGTTCCTGGCTTCTGGGTCTGTGCTGAGCCCCCACTGGGCGAGGCTGATGGAGGGGAGGTGCTGGTTCCCACACTGGAGGGCCCCTCAGGCGTGGGCGAGGCAGGCGGCCTCAGAGTTGTGCCTGGGGGGGACTGCAGGCCAGTGCCCCCCCCAGAGCTGGTCGTGGAGGGTTCCTGAGAGGGCCCTGGGGGTCTGGGGGCTTCCGAAGTGATGCTGCTTGAGGGCCCAGCTGTTCCTCCAGCCTCTGGGGATGTGGGGGGACCTGGGGGGTCTGGGGGCCAGGCACAGGGCTCGGCTTGCCTCTGCCCCCAGCATGCCTGTGGCAAGGAGCCCCCCCGAGCCATCACCGGGGTCCCCCTGGAGGCTCACCTGTGGGGATGGTCTCCTGTTCTGACACTCGTATCTCCACCACTGTGGTCGCTGTGCCTGCGGTCACTGTGTTCTTGGCCTCGACCTGGGGCAGGAAGGGGGCTTGTCCCTCCTAGGCCCTGCCTTAACCCCCGCCCCTCAGAGATGCCGGCCCCCCCTCACCTCTGCATAGAAGACCCCTGTGTACACCAGCGGCTTGGCGACCTGCACAGTCTCCCCAGCCATTCGGAAGTTGGAGTTGTTGGTGATTCCATATGTGATGGCCGAGTTGAGGTCCTGGACACAGCCCCAGTGAGTCCCGGCCCCGGGCCACCCCCATGTTACCCCAACCCACACACAGGCAGACCCAGGGACAAGGCGCTGCCTACTGGGAAGTCAGGGTCCTGGGCCCGAATCCTCAGAGACTGGGAGGGGGCTGCTGCATCCTTGACGGCCTCACCCACTTCTGCGCCCAGTGCCACCGTGCCACGGTACAGGCTCTCGGGGAAGCGGGGCAGGCTCCCAATGGCGTCTCGAGCCTCCACTGTGACCTGGGTCACGGAGTAGCGGGCCTGGTCCTCCTGTTCCCCCTGGGGGTGAGGGAGGCAGCAGTGACCAGCAGGTCCTTGAAGGGCAAGCCCTGCAGCCTGAGGCTCAGGAAGGGCCCATTGAGACCTGGGCAAGGGACCGACCTTGACCCACAGAAGGAAAGTCTTGGGGCTGTCAACACTCCTGGTCATAGTGAGGTTGCCCGAGTTGGTGTCAATGGTGAATGTGTCCTCGTGTCCTGGGAGGATGGGGAGGAGATGAATTGGTCTTGGTCCCCTCCAGAGGCCTGAGGTCCAGGGTCCCAGCTGGCTCTGCCCATGTGACAGGTCCCCCTGGGGCTTCCCCTGCCCAAGGTGGGGGTGGGGATGGGACCCTGAGTATTGTATGGAGCGAGAAGCCAGAGAGCCAGTCCTCACTCACCCCCTATAATGCTATAGGTGATGCGCTGGTTGATGGCCGCATCCCCGTCCACGGCGTAGATGGGCCCTGGATCCAGGATGAGGGGGGTCGGCTGCGGGCACAGCGAGGGGATGGGATGCCCTGGGGCTGATGCAGTGGCCCAGCTCGGCCCCTCCCGCTCCCCCTCAAGGAGGCCTGAAACAGCCCCCGGGCAGGCCTGCCAGGGACAGTCCAGACATCCGACAGGATCATCCGTCACACCCCTTCGATCCGTTGCTATGAGTCAGTCTGCCCCAGGACATCTGACGGATCTGAACAATGTGCATCTCGGGAGGGAGCCCACACGGGGGACGGGGGTTCAGACAGGGGCCTTGCCACAGGAGAAGGCTCCGGAGCCCCACTGCCTCAGTGCACCCCTCGTGGTATGAGTGGGGACAGCCAGCCAGGCAGAGATCAGCTGCCCCTCAGGAGCAGCACCGTGGCCTGTCCAGTCCCCCCACCCCCGCCCGGCGTCCCAGCTGCCTCACTGGGTCCCGGTCTCTGCCCCGAGGACGGTGGGCCTCTTCCCCTCACCAATTCCAGTGAGTTTGTTCACCACTCACGCCCAGGAGCCGGGCCAGATTGCTTGACGCAGGAGTGTTCACATTTGTTTGAAAATCACAACCCAATTTAGCCCCATGGTACCAGCCCCCACCCCCAGTGCCAACCCTCCCTGTCCCCAGTACCAGTTGGTAACCGGTGGGGACAGCCCCGTGGTACTGGGCCTGGATGCAGACGTAAGAGTCTCTGTAGGCACAGGGCAGGAACCAGGGGGGCCGCAGATCGACGGGCTGCACCTCCAGGACCAAGGTGGCCGTGGCCGTGTGGCTGGGATTCACGTTCTCTTCCCGAGTGTCCTGCAACAGCCGAGCCCCGTGGATCAGGTCTGGGAGCCTGGGGCTGGTGGCAGCTCAGATGGGAACCCGAGCTTCAGGGACTCGGGGTGGGAGAGGCCTGCTCACCCGCACCAGCAGCTGGAAGGTCATGTTCGGCCACCTGTCCAAGTCCAGTGTCCGGTCCAGCTGCAGGGCGGGCAGGTTTGCCCCCACCAAGGAGAAGAAGGCACTGGCACCCTGGGCAGATGGGGAGGCCTCAGCCTGAGACTCTGGGGGTATGCAGAGAGGCCGGGGCGCTCAGATTGGAGGGGTCTGAGTTGGGGTGGGGACGGGGCACTGACCGGGGTCACCTCCTGGAGGCTATAGAACAGGATGTCATCTTTGTCGAGGTCCTGGGCCTGCAGTTCCGTCGCAGGGATGACGGTGGTGTTCACTTTAGTGTCCTGGGGGACGGAGCACTTGGTCTGGCCACACTCCTGACCCCATGGCCAAGCCCCCCGGCCATTAGCCTTCTGCCCCCTGGCCCCTCCTCCGGGCTCCTGATGCCCCTGTGCCAGCCCAGAGGGCGCCAGCCTCTGGCATCCCTCACACTCACCTCGGGCACCCTCTTGACCCTGACCACAAAAGGGAACGTGGGTGGGTTGTCGTTGACGTCCAGCACAGACACCCACACCCTCAGCTGGGTCACCTGGGGGGACGGGTGGTGGTCAGCCTTCTCTGCATGGTGCCAGCCCCAGCGGCCCCTCTCGTTCTGTGTGCTGGGGCGCCCTGAGACTCCTGCTCTATCAGGGTCACAGACAGTGGACAAGAAGGAATTTGTAAGCACAGAAGGTGGCGAGTGCCCTGGAGAGAATAACGCAGCTCCTGGGGGTGCCACCAGCAAAGTCCCAGATGAGGAAAACAGCAAAACCATCGAATTTCTCCAAACATAAATCTCAAAGAAAAAAGGAGGGAGAAAGGGGCCCCACAGACTGAAAGAGACTTCAGAGAACCGTCTGGCAGCCGCGGCGGGCGGACCCTTCTGGAGGGGGGTTTCGGACACTGGAGGTCATGTGACACCAGGAGTCCCTGCTGTTTTCAGTGTGACAACAGTGTGCTGCTGATGTTTTAAAAGAAGGGTCCTTATCTTTTAGAGACTCGTCCTCAGATAGTTGTGGGTAGTGTGCTGTGATGTCGGGGTGAGGGCGCCCACAGGGATCGCTGCTGAGCTGGCAGGTGCGTGAGGCGGGTTGTCGGGGTGCTCCTCTGGGGAGGTGACAGGGCATTGAGGACCGGAGGTGGTGAGACAGGGAGGCAGGTGCAGATCCAGGGAGAGGGCACAAGGCCACTGGAGCACGGCCCGTGAGCCCCGGCCTCACCCACCACGGCAACGCATTTGGCTTTGACGGTGAGTGAGAAAGCAGCCGTGGGAGTGAGTCCTGGACAGGATGTACTGCTTGCTTTACGGGATCTTCTGCCATGCAGAGAGTGGATTGGGGTGGATGGGGCCAAGAGGAGAACAAGCAGACCAGTTGGAAGTTTCCAGAAAGGAGATGCTGGTAGCCAAGGCCCCAGTGGGGCACAGAGGTGGGGAGGGTCCAGCTTGAGGCAGAGCCGACAGATGTGCTGATAGAGGGAAGTGGGGAGAGAGGGAGGGCGAGGAGCCAGCCGGCAGGTGGGGCGCCTCCGAAGTGGGGGCCTCAGGTTGGGCGCCTCTGTTGGGGGTGTGATGTTGACCGGGTTGGGTTTGTGAGTCTGTGACTCAGCGCAGAGTCTGGGCTGGAGGAAGTGTGGATGTCGCCAGCACAGGATGACACTTGGCAACATACCACCGGGTGAGGTCACCAGGGAGTGACCCTGGACTGGGCAGAGCAGAGTGCAGAGGTGCACGTGTGGAGCTCTGACATCACAGGGTAGGGAGGTGACGTGGGGGTGCCCAGGAGGTGGGGGCCCTGGGGGGGTGGGACTTACCACGGTGTCACCCCTTTTGCACTCCAGGTCTGCCTGCAGCAATGCGTTCTCCTGTGGGGGCAGATGGGTGTCAGGAATCACCTGTCCAGCCGGCCACAGCACACTGTCCCCACTTCACAGGTGAGGATTCTGAGGTCAAGGGGGCAGGTGCCTGCCCGGGGTCCCTGTTGTCTGTGCTGAGCCCAGAGGGCATCAGGGGCCCGGGCAGCTTTGTCCCTCAAGGGCCCCACCCCCCACAGGCCAGCCCTCAGCCAAGCCTTGGGGCCCTAGAGGGGTCAGTCCCTTCTGAGGGGCACAGAGCCCTCAGGACCCCTGGGCAAACTCAGGACCAAAGACCCCCAGAGAGCCCTCCTCTTGGAAGGAGGGTGGGTGTCTGCTTGGGTCCCATGGGTAATCAGCCGCCCCGACCACCCGCATGGGCACACCCCACCGGGGTCTGCCAGCTGCACCTCATAATCAGGAGTCACGTTGAGAAACAGCTGGTTCCCTTGGATCCGAAACGCGAAGGGAGTGGACGAGGCTGCGAGGGTCACCTGCTGGCCCTGGGGGACGTCTACAGTCACCAGGGGTCCGCTGAGATTCGTGTTCTCCTTGACTTCAAAGAGGTTCTTGGCCACAGAGCAGACTGGAAAGTTGGAGAGGAAGGATTGGTGGCACCCAGGCCCCTGCCCGCCACCCAGTCCCACCTGCCACAGCCCCACAGGTACCCTGGGCCTGGGCCTGGGCCTGGGCCATGGCCATGAGCAGCGGCAGCAGCAAGACCCAAGCCCCCATCTTGGCGGCCGTCAGCTGGCAGGAGGGTCCGAGCCTGTCAGGCGTCCAGGACCCTCTGGGCAGCCGGCCGCCCGCTGGCGCAGTCTCTGCCTGGGCGACCTTCGCTCCTGCCGGGCACCGCCCCGCTTTATGATCCTTTACAACCTGACTGCCCGGCCTCCACCAAGGGGGATCCCGCCGGCCGGAGGCCAGGCCTTGCCTCGGGCAGGAGGGGGACACCTAGTGGTTACCCAGCTGGAGCTGGGCTCAACCCACAGACACCAAGACGGGAGACAGAAAGGAGCTTGGAGAGCTGCTGGGGCCTGATTGGCCTGGGCAGGGGGCCGGGGAAGGGGTGGTCGGGGGCGGGGGAGGGGGAGGCCCTGTCTCCTGTGTTTGCTGTGCTGGCCCCGGCCCCTCAACCCGGGCTGCCCCTCTGCTGGGCTCCTCTGCAGGCGTCATCTCGGGGCAAGTCCCTGACACTGTTCCCCTCCAGCTCCTGGACAGGGATCAAAGACACACACTCGAGTCCTCTCACTCCAGAGTGGCCTCCTGGCTGGCACACACACATGCATGCACACATGCACACACCCCGCCTGCCATCTCTTCCTGCCCGCACCGAGCTTCCTTGCCCCCTCACACTTCCCCCACTACCTGCTGCACACACTGACCACTTGGACCCTGGGGCAGGAGCTGGGGGACGTTCTGAGCCCCCCACAGAGCCCCTGAATGTTGGTGACTGGATGAGAGGGGTGCAGGTTGGCCCTGGAGAGCTCAGTGGATGGGACAAGAGGTGGTGCTGATGTCAGAGACAAGGACAGGGGAAGGTGAGGCGCCCCACTGGCTTCCCAGGTTTAAAGGGCACTTCCTAGACGGTGGCCACAGTCCTAGCATCTGTGGCTGGGGCCCTCCTCGCTTCTGACAGCCCTGCTCCTCAGGGGCCACATGCCCGTCTGGAGGCAGCACACAGAGTGGGCTCACAGGGCAGGGTGCGAATTCTTCCTTTATTGGTACCAAGTGCAAACCCCTCCTCCTCCCGCCCTCCCCGTCCAGGCTCCCCTCCTCTTGTCCACGGAGAGTTGGCTCCTTCGCTGTCAGGGCCTCATCTGGGTCCTCTCAGCAGCAGGGATGGCTGGCTCTGAAACCATGGCCCCAGGCCTCCAGCCGACAGGCAGCTGGGGAGACCAGGCCTGATCCAGGGGGGCCCTGGGGGGCATCCTGCAAAGACAGCCAGGCTGGAGGCTGGGGGCTTGAAGCTGGAGACTGCGCCCACTTGGTGAAGCTGAGCCTCCTCCGGTCACCAGCACTGACAGTGTCACCTCCCCAGACCCAGGGCCCACTGCTGTGTCCCGTTCCCTCCCTGGCCCAGGGTGCCCCAGGGAACCAGAGAGAGGGTCTGGGGGAGGAGGTCCCAGAGTGGGGAGAGGGCTGGTGGTGCTCACCAGGCCTGCAGGGTGGGCGAGTCCCGCTGGGGCAGGCAGAGGTGGCCCTCCGTTGTCGTCGTCCAGGTGGTGCTGTTCTCTGGGTCCTGCTCGCTGCCCCCACCCCAAATCAGAATTAGTCCTGGAGTTCGGGGGGTGGACACTGCCGAGGGGAGGGGCTGCCGGTGCCGGGCCCTCCCACCTCAGCGGCAGCCCCCCGCCCCCCGCCAACCACAGATCTCCGCGCTCAGGTGCAGCCGCTCACCTGCGCTTCCCCACGAGGCCCTGGAGCAGCCGCTGCAGCCGCGCGCTCTCCCGCAGGCGGCTGAGCTCGCTCGTGAACGTCCCGTCCGAGTGTCGCCGGGCCCTGGAGAGGGGGATGGTGGGCCGCGGGCCAGATCAGGGCCAGGCCAGAGCTGGGGCGCTGACGTGGGGCCGGACCGGGGTGGGCTGGAGGGGCGGGCGTGGGCCCCGGGGCGGCAGGCTCACCTGGGTGGCGCGGGGCGCGCGGCGGAGCCACTGAGCAGCAGCAGCAGCAGTAGGGCCTGGGGAACCATGGTGGGCGCGGGGTGCCGATTGCTGCTGCCGAGGCCCGAGCCCCGAGGCCCCTTTATAGTGGCACCCCGAGGCGGGCGGGCGGGGGGCGCTCAGCACCACCCCGGCTCTGCGCAGCCCCGGCCGCGCCCCATCGATCGCGCAGAAGGTCAGGGCCGCCCCCCCAGCTGTCGCTCCTGCTGGCCGCCCGCCCCCTCCGCCGCGGCGGCGCCCCCCGGCGGGCCGGGGGGCTCGGCTGGGCTGGCCCGCGGGGGTCGGGGGCCCAGGGAGGGAGGAGAGACACCCGGCGAGGGGAACAGAGTGTGCAAAGCCTCGAAGCCTCGACCGCGCGCGCTTTGGAGGCGCCGGCAGAGTCTGCGGGGGACACTATCAGGGGCCGGCCGGCTCTGCAAGGGGGCGGAGGCAGAGGGGCTGAGCACCCGGAGGGTGGGCTCTGGAGGGAAGGGGCGACGACCGAAGGCGCCCAGGGGCCACGAGGGTAGAGGCTGGGAAGAAGGGGGAGGCGGCCCTGAGGCACGGACGCCCCTGGAGAGGCCCTGGCGGGCGGCGCGGAGGGAGAGGCCGGGCTGCAGGGGAGTCGGCTGGCACCGAGGGGCGGGGCGCAGGTGGGCCCGGCGCGGCGGGGAGCCTATTTTAGGCTGTGGTAAGAGGTGGAGATGCGGAGAGGGAGAGGAAAAACGGGGAGGCCGCTGGGTTCTTGCTGCTTCATCCATGCGGGATTAAGTCCAGATAGGCTTTTTAAAACCTCTACTCATGAAATCCTTCAACATAAATTACAAATCCACTACATGAAGTGGTAAACTTGTAGTTCTTGTGTTAAATTTTACCTGCATTTTTAAAACACGCACAGGCCCAGCCTCCCCTATTGGTAACATCTTGCGTTATCATGGGACATTTGTTACAATTGATGAACCAATATTGACACATTGTTATAACTAAGTCCACAATGTACATCAGGGTTCACCCGTGATGTTGTAGGTTCGGTGGGTTGGGACAAATTTGTCAGGACAGTATCCACTGTCCAGAGTCCTTTCACTGCCCTGAAGACCCCTGTGCTCCTCCTGTTCCTCTCTCCCTCCCCCTCCCCCTGATCTTTTCACTGTCACCACAGTTTTGCCTTTTCCAGAATGTCATAGACTTGGAACCACACAGTATGTAGTCTTTTCAGATGGGCTTTTTTCACTTAGTAACGTGCGTCCAAGTTTCCTCCGTGTCTTTTCGTGAGAGCCTGAGAGCTCATTTCTCTTTATCACTGAATACAATAATTTTCCATCATCCCGATGGGCCACCGTTTATTCATCGACTGAAGGGCATCTTGCTTGCTTCCAAGTTTTGGCAATTATGAATAAGTCTGCTATAAACATCTGTGTGCAGGTTTTCATGCGAACATAAGTTTTCAGCTCCTTTGGGTGAATACCAAGGAGTGTGGCTGTTGGGTGGTGTGGTGAGAGAGTGTTCAGTTTTGTAAGAAACCGCCAGACTGTCTTCCGAAGTGGCTGCACCCTTTGACAATCCCACCAGCCACCAACGGGAGTTCCTGGTCCTCCACATCCTTGCCAGCATTTGGTGGCGTCAGTGTTTTGGATTTAGGCCATTCTGATAGGTTCGTAGGGGCACCCCATTGTTGTTTTCTTTACATATATTTTTAAACAGCTGCTGTGGCCTGTTCTTGCACAAACTCAGCAGATTGAAATCGCTTAAACTGCAACCCCATCAAGTGATGAATGATATTCATGGGCACCTTCCACACTCCAGCTACTCGTTTAACCCGTGGGATTTCTTAGCACGTCAGACACTTACGTAACCAGGCCGATCTCCATAAGAAAAATCTTCCTATTTAAAAAAAAAATTAACATACGGTCAAATTGATTTTTTAAAAATCAACATACAGTGAAATTAATGAACAGTCAAAAATGAATTTTGACACATGAGTAGATTCGTGGAATCACCACCTCAATTGGGATACAGAACAACTCCATCATCCCAGAGAATGCGCTCCTGCTGCCCCTTTGTGGTCACATACACGGCCCTGAGCGATTTCAGCCACACCTACATGAGGTCACAAACGGTCACAAGCACAGAGGGACAGACCTAGAAGGGGCCAGTTCTGAGTGAAAAAAGCCAGTGGGGCTGACTGAGGCCAAGGAGGGGCGGGCTGGCTGCCGCAGGTTCCTCTCCCAGAGGATGTTGTAACTGCCTTCATCTCGTCTGAAACGGCTGTCAGGCATTGTCTCCGCTGCTCGGAATTTCTCCAGAGACAGCTCCTGGCCTGTGTGCTCACACGTCCGCTCTGCGGCTGCCTCATTCACGTGGTGGTCATGCTGCCATGCGGACAGGCTGCAATGGTATGTCCCCATTTTTCCAGTGTGGATGGAGACACGCCGCGACTGAGAATGTCCACCCGCATGGCACCCTGATGGGCAGCGGGACCCATGAGAGGGATGAGCTGAGGAAGGTGGTGCCACGCACACCCTGGCCCCCCGGTTGGGGCTCTACTTTGAAGCAACGTGATACAAGCTACAGCGACAAAATGCCACTTTCAACCCGTAGGTTTCAGTGAGAGCCCCACGGGTTCCCAGGCCATCGAGTTGAGCCGGGTCCTCGTTACAAATGCACCAAAAAGTCGACTTATATGAGTAACTATCCAAGGCCTCAAATCGGACCTGACTCTGTGTGGGGGGCTCCTAATAATGGCCAATTTCAGGGTCCAGGATTCTGAGAAAGGATAAGAAGCTTTCCTTTTCCGGAGCTGAATGCAGGAGGGAGCGCATCCTAAGACAGGTGAGAGTTAATCAGCCCAACAGCTTCGTTCTCTGAAGAACCGGAGCGTGGAAAATAGTCTCTACGCCTCTTTTTTGTTTACCAAGATTTAAGCGTCAAATTTAAGGTCATTGTATCTCCTCTTGGTTCTACATTTGAGATGCTGGAGGAGGGCATTGAAAAGAATAATTTTCTCAAATGTACACTCCTGCTTTCCATCCACCAGGGAGCTGAAAATCTGGCATGGCTTAGGTCCCTAAAGGCTAGATGCTTTCAGGATACGAGCTCGGGACTCCCAGTGACGCAGTGCGGCCTTCCTGTGACTGTAACGAGCATCCCCTCCTAAGAACTAGAAGAAGGAGAAAATTGTATTATTATTATTTAAATTTCTATCATTGTAGAAAATTAAAAACATACAAAAGCAGCCAGGACCGTATAATGGACTCAGATGTACCATTACCCAGCTTCACCGATTTATCGCCAATCTTATCTACCCCATGGACTTGCTCTCTTTTTTCAAATTAGTTTTGGAGCAGATCTCAGAAATTGTATCATTTCATCTATGAGGATTTCAGCACATAGCTCAAAAGGATAAGGACGGTCGCTTGTCCACTCGCCAACCAAGATCAGCCAGGGGACCTGCTGATCAAACACGGTTGAGTCATCAAAACCGTAGCGAGGAAGCCTGTCAGCGGACAGTCTCGCTAATGATTCCGAGGGGAGTGTGGGAGTGAGGGATTTGTACGGACTTTGGGGTAAGGGCTCAATGCCTTTAAGACCGGTCTGTCACAGCACCAAACTGGTAGGGCCTGAGAAAAGGTTGTGAATAGTTTAGGGCTGATGATCACCAGGATGCTTAAGATGACACTATATATGTGGGAGCTGTCTCCACTTATTACCTCCCAAAGCTCCACCATTTTACGTTCCAGATGCAGAGCTGGAATTTATGTTGTACATGATGTTAGGCAGTGACTGAGTTTCATTTTTTTCTATATGGCTGTCCAGTCGCCCAGCGTTAGGAAGTGAGAAGACCGTCCTCTCTCCACTGCTCTTCAGTGCCATTTTTATTGTAAATCACCTGACTGTGTGTACTCAGGTCTGTTTCTGGGCTTGCTATTGCTCCAATGTCATTGGCCTAATTGTCATTCCTTGTTCTACCTTAGCCACAATGCCTTAGTTACTTCACCATCTTAACTACGACAGTTTTGTGTCTTAATATCTAATACAGCAAATCTTTTCACCTTGTTTTTCTTAAAGAGTGTCTTAGCTATTTTTGACCCTTCGCATTTCCATATAAATTTTAGGATAAACGTGTCAAGTTCCACAAAAAGATACTGTTAGGAGATTGATGGAAGCCACATCCCATTGTTAGATCAGTTTCAGAACTGTATCCCGTTGAGGTTTCAAATTGCATTTCTCCAGTTACTAATGAGGAGCATGTTCTCATGTGCTTCCTGGCCAATTATATATCTTCCTTGGAGAAACATCTGTTCAAGTCCTTGGCCCATCTTTCAATTGAATTGTTTGACTTTCTTGTTGTTGAGTTGGAAGAGTTCTTTACATATTCTGGATACTACACACTTTCCGATACGTGATTTGTAAATATTTTCTCCCATTCTGTGGGATTTTCTTTTCACTCTCTTGGTAGTGTCCTTTGATGGACAAAAGATTTTAATTCTTATGAAATCCAATGATCTGTTTGTTGTTTTTGTTTGTGCTTTGGGTGTTATATTTAAGAAACCGCTGCCAAATCCAAGGTCGTGATTTGCCCCTATATTTTCTTCTAAGAGTTTTTAGTTTTAGAGTGTATATTTAGGTCTTTGATCCATTTTGAGTTAATTTTTGAATGTGGTGTGAGGTAAGGGTCCAATTTCATTGTTTCCATTTGAATACCAATTGTCCCAAAACCTTGTGTTGAAGAAACTCTTCTTTCCCCGCTAAATAGTCTTGACACCTTTGTTGAAAATCAAGTGATCATAAAAGTATGGGTTTCTAGCTCAACTCTCAGTTCCCTTCCATGGACCTATACGTCTGTCCTTAGGCCGGTACCATACTGTTCTCATTCCTGTAGCCTTGTAGTAAGTTTTGAAATTAAGAGGGGTGAGGCCTATAATTTTCTTTTTCTTTTTCAAGATTGTTTTGGTTCTTTGGAGTTCCTTACAATTCCCTATAATATGTTTATTAGCTCTAACAGGTTTTGTTTTTATTTATTTTAGGATTTTCTATGCATAAGATCACGTCATCTGCCAATAGAAATAGTTTAACTTTTTCCTTTCTGGTTTTGGATGCCTTTTTATTTCTTTTTCTTGCCTAATTGCTCTGGCTAGGCCTTCCAGAACATGCTGACTAGAAGTGCAAAAGTGGATAACCTTGTCTTTTTCTTGATCTTAGGGGAAAAGCTTTCAGTCTCTCATCATTGAGTATGATGTTAGTTGTGTGTTTTTCACCTACGGCCTTCATCACGTTAAGGAAGTTTCTTTCTATTCCTAGTTTATTGAGTCTTTTTATCATGAAAGGGTGTTGGGTTTTTTCAAATGCTTTTTCTGCATCAATTGAGATGATTAAATGGGTTTTTTTTCCTCCATTCTATTAATGTGATGTATTACGTTGATTGAGTTTTCTCTGTTGAATCACCTTGTATTCCCAGGATAAGTCCCTACGTGGTCATAGTGTATAATCCTTTAAAAAACGCTGCTGGATTTGGTTTGCTTATATTTGGTTGAGGAGTTTTGTATCCGTATTCATAAGAATATTCATCTGGAGTTTTCTTTCTTGTGATGTCATTAATGTTGAGTTTTGAGAGTTCTTTAAAAATTTTGTATACAAGTCATTTGCTGGAAATGCGATTTGCTAATATTTTCTGGCATTCTGTGTCTGAAAGTTTTTAATTTTAATGAAGTCAAGTTTATCTGTTTTTTCATTTGTAGATTGTGCTTTTGGTGTCGTATCTGAAAACTCTTGGCAATCCCTGGTCACAAAGGTTTCCTCCCATCTTTTCTTCCAAAATTTTTATAGTTTTAGGTTTAGAGTTAAATCTATAATTCATTTTGAGTTAGTTTTTAAATATAACATGAGGTTTAGATCGAGGGTTTTTGGGTGTCCAAATATATTGGACGTCCAATTATCTCTGGACCTTTTGTTGAAAAGACTGTCCTTTTTCCATTCTGCACCTTTTGCACTTTGTAAAAGATCTGGAGGTTGTATGATTGTGAGTCTGTGTGTGGACATCCCACTCTGTTCCCTAGATCTGTGGGTCTGTCCCTTTACCAGTACCACACTGTCTTGATTACTGTAGCAATAGAGTAATTCTTAAAATCAGGTA